TTAACTATTGAACCGCAGATAATAGACTAAAAGTCTCAAAAAAGGAGACGACAAAAGCTTGTCGCAGTCAGGCAACTCAGCACTCTTCAATATTATGAATAGTGCACAAACGACAAAACTGTTATCAAAGATTCAAATAGCAGCAAGCTTTGTAGAGAATTCAATTCTCTATCGATACGCTCTTTTCCTCTATCCCTCTCTTTTGAAAAAAACCTTTCCATTTTGAGCTGAACATAGTCTAATGTGGAGGAAAGTCTGGGCTATAAAATGAGACCACTCCCAGCTTTCTATGATCTTCCTTGAAAAAATTATGAAGCTTTTAAGTTTTTCCTTCAAAGGCTAGAAAATCTCAATTTTTTAGTTTCGTAAATTTTTCTCCTTTCCTATATATTCAAAATTTTTCGTATAAATTATTAGCTTAATAGAAGAAAGTATGATCTTCAAAATGAGACGTCTTCCAGAATTTTCCGTTGAGTTTTCGTAAAGATATAAGAATCACCGCAAATGTCCTGAAAAAACAGACCCCTGTATACAATGTCTTTTTCTCACTATACCTTTTTTTCGATAATCTCTTCAACCGAATCACATTACGACTCCTCAAAAAACTGGTGCGATCGAGCTGAGATTTTTACCACAGATACTTCGGATCCTATCTCAGCTTCGTTTTTTTCTTCAACCGTTTTTGATTTCAACTTTCGGCGTGAGAAGGTTTTTAAAATAAAAAACGTTTTTTTTTATACAGGATTTTTAGTATTTTTCGAATATCTCGAGAAGGAAAGTATGTTTTCCGAAAAGAAAAAAAATCAAACATGCGATAGGGTCTAAAGTATCTGTGATAAAATTTCCACGTCGATCGGACCATTTTTTCGAGGGGTCGTAATGTGACCTGATGAAAAGTGGAGTTTCCTAAAAAACCCATAGAAGAACATGTCAGAAAATTCTGGGCAAAAATACATCGATTTTCTTTTTCAATGTTCTATCTCTGGTATAAATTTCACCCTGATTAGACATCGGCTTCCTTGGTTTTCAAGAGGGTCAAAAGAAGAGGGGGGAAGAGGTACTCTTAATTTTTAAGCAATTCTACGTTATCAACATTTTACTTTTGCTGTTTAACAAAAACAATATTTTTTCTATAGAATTAAATAAGTATCCATGTCAGATTTCACATTTGTTATTAAATATTATTGAACCAAAATATTTTTCGCACAAAACGAAAAAAATAGAGTTTGGTTTTATCCAACAAAAAAACAACACACAAATAATAGAGAACATTGAACTTCACAAAAAAATTTCAAACAACAAAGAAGAAATAAAAATCAGAATCTCTTCTATCGTAGACCATACAGATAGATATTCTACAATATACTAGATGTAATATTCAATTCTTATGTAAGTTCAAAAAGAAAGAAAAATTACATTTATTCTTATTTTATCATCATTTATATTTTGCGTTGGTGCATGTAAAAAGTTCGGACAAAAGAATAAATACAAAGAAAAGAAAAAATGTTGAATATACCAGTATAGAGAACAATTTTTTTTCTTCTCCTTTTTGACCTGCGACGGATATATATATATCTCAATGAACATATATACACCATCGCTATACGACGAGATAACATCATCGTTACTCTCAAACCAACTGTTGTGTGAACAAAAACACACACGCACACGCAACTATGACTCAAATCGATATGTATGTAAAGTTGTAATAGTCGTCGCAATTTTGAGTAAGGTAAATGAAGAAAAACAGTGTTCAAGAGTTTTGTACTAATTGATTAAATTATTAGTCAAATAATTCTTACTAGTTCAATTTAATGTTCCAGATTGTTTCCATTTAATCTATTGTCTACATTATAAATCTGTTTTCTTGATACGTGCAATGTATTTTTCATAGAACCTGATCATATCAGAGGTGAACGATTGATAAATTACATAATCTTAATTAAACGCTAATATTCATGATTTTACGTTATTCATTTTACTTCTCTTAACATAAAACTAACAATAAATAAATCAATTATTGTGTCTAAAACGATTATTTAACAGTGAAAAAAAAAACCACCACAACATGATGAACAATATAAGAAGTCTATTGGCACGGGCAACGATTCTTCATGTTTTACTTGTTCAAGGTAAGTAAAATCTAATTGATTATAGTAGTGAATTATTATTTGATCGAGAATGGCAATCATCTTTATATTAATTTAAGTTTTTCAAAATCAAATAACTGAATTTAAACTAGTTCTCTAGTCTACATATTATGTAACAATATATTTTAATTGTTGTTTTAGTGTATACTCAAATTGATTCAAATTCAAATCGTACATTAACATCAAGTACTGCACGTAGTGCTGTAGCTAATATCGAAAGTACGCTAACATCATCAGCGAATAATTTCACTTATACAACTTCGCTGTTTAATAGAAGACCAAGTCGACCATTAAACGGTTCTATTCGTCGTCGTCGTCCTACAACTCGTCGTCCTCTCGGTATACAACAACCAGATTGTGATTATGGTGGATGTTATCCAGAAACGGGAGATTTATTAATTGGTAGAGAAAAAAATTTATATGCTAATTCTACATGTGGATTAAAACAACCAGAACGCTATTGTATTATTGGTAATACGAAAAATATTTCGTGTGATGTCTGTGATATTAAAATGGCGAATAAAAGTCATACAATTGAAAATATTGTTACGAGATACGGTCAAGATTCTCGATTGAAATGGTGGCAGGCAGAAAATGATGTCGAACAAGTTTATCTACAATTAAATTTAGAAGCAGAATTTGTTTTTACCCATTTAATTATGAAATTTCGTACATTTCGTCCGAAAGGAATGATTATTGAAAAAAGTTCAGATTATGGTAAAACATGGCGAATATATACCTATTTTTCATCGACATGTCGAACAATGTTTCCATATATATCAACAGAGTTACCCAAAAGTATTGATCAAATCTATTGTGAAAGTAGATATTCAGATGAAACACCATCAACAGGAGGAGAGGTGAGTCGTGTATTGAACATCTTAACTATTCTGAAATAAAACTCGATTATTTATCTAGTTAATTTATAATATTTGTTAATTTAGGTTATATTTCGTGTTTTATCACCGGGTATGTTAGGTAGACGTGATCCTTATTCTCATGCAGTTCAAGAATTAATTAAAATAACAAATTTACGAATTAATTTTACTAAACTACATACATTGGGTGATAATTTTTTGGATACACGACAAGAAACAACACCAAAATATTATTATGCTATTTATGAAATGGTTGTCCGAGGTAGTTGTTCATGTTATGGACATGCTAAACGATGTGCACCAACTGATGAAGAGTTGAAATCGAATATAACATCGCCTGGAAAGGTATAAAAAAAAATTAGAAAATTTTTCTTCATCATATCAAATGTGTTCTATTTGACTGTTTTAGGTTCATGGCAAATGTGAATGTACTCATAATACCAAAGGTATGAATTGTGAACAATGTTTGGATTTATACAATGATCGTCCATGGCGACCAGCACGTACTGGCCAATCAAATCCGTGTCGTCTATGTGAATGTCATGGTCATGCTAAACAATGTCGATTTGATCCAACACGCTATGCACAAACAAATTATACGAGTGGTGGCATTTGTGAAGAATGTGAACATAATACAATTGGATCAAGATGTGAATATTGTAAAGATTTATTTTACAAAGATTCACAATTACCAATAACAGATCCTCATGTTTGTAAACGTACGTTTGAATTTCATATCCTAAACACACTTTTAGCATCAGACGTTATTCATTTATTCTAGCTTGTAATTGTGATGCGTATGGTACACGCAATAAAGGTAGTTGCGTCCAATATGATGATCAACGTCATAGTTTACATGCTGGTCAATGTATATGTAAAGAAAATGTTGAAGGAACGCGGTGCGATAAATGTAAAGTGGGATATTATAATTTGGATTACAATAATCCACAAGGATGCCAAGGTTAGTTTTATATCAGTGATTCGTTCTTCGTTACCGTTTACGATGATAATTTCTAGTTTGTGATTGTCATCCATTGGGTATTATCGATAAACAATGTAATACAAACTCGGGTTTATGTCAATGTAAAATAAATGTAATTGGTAGAAGATGTGATCAATGTCAAGAAAATCATTATGGTTTAAACATGGATGAAATTGACGGTTGTAAGCCATGTAATTGTTATCCTGGTGGATCGTATAGTTTACAGTGTGATATTCAAACTGGTCAATGTCCATGTCGGGATGGAATGAATGGAAGACAATGTGATACACCTATAACAGGAACATATTGTGCGGGATTACAATTTTTTACATATGAAGCTGAATTAGCTAAAATTGATGAAAAGGTAAATTTATTATTGATGATTTTTCAATTTTAAGCAATATGTTGTGTTCTCTAGAAAGCTGTTATATTTTCTTATGATAATCCAAATGAATATCGGACATGGACTGGAACAAGTATTGTTCGTATATATGAAGGTGGCACAATTGAATTTGATGTTTATCATTCAATGAGAACGGGTTATTATGATCTTATCGTTCGATATTTACCAGCAGTATGTTTAAAAAAAACAAAAATAGTTTAGTTATTTTGTTGCCTTTTTTTCTTAAAGACCGAAACATGGGAAGATGCAAGAATTCTAGTTATTGGACAAAATCGTACACAGCCAACAAGTGATTTATGCGGAATAAACTATGAACAAGTAGCTACAGTCAAATTACCAGCAAGTAAGAATGTATATTAAACTTATTTGTAAAAAAAACGAGTTGATTATTTGTTGATGCACATGATAGAACTCAAATATTCTAGAAAAATCATTTGCGGAACTTGAGAAACCACTGTGCTTGAATGAAAATGAACATTATAAAATACAACTTCAGCTTCGTCAATATGGTCATGGAAAAAGTGAACGTGATCCAGTTGTCAGCATTGACTCAGTAAGTAAAATAAATCACACTTTTATTTCATCAATGAAAAACAAAAATATTTTTAGATTGTATTGATTCCACGTATTGAAAAATTGGATGAATTTGCTAAACAGCCGTTGTTACTCAGTGATTTTGAAACTCATCAATGTAAAGAATTGACATTAACACTAACAAACACGGGTGAATTGCCAGAAGTTTGTCGAAAAATAATTTGTGGCATTAGTGCATTGATTGTCGGTCGAACACTACGTAAGTGTTGATAGTTGATATGTCATGGTCTTCACTTATTCTTCTTTCTTCTTCTTTTAGCATGTGATTGTGATACGACTGGTTCCGTAAGTAGTCTCTGTAATCCACTTGGTGGTCAGTGTGAATGTAAACCCTATGTGATCGGTCTTAAATGTAACATGTGTATGCCCGGTTCATATCGATTTAGTCCGGAGGGTTGTACAAAATGTAATTGTCATAATACTGGCGCGTTAAATAATCTTTGTGATGTGACAACGGGTGCATGCTATTGTCGTCCGAATGCACATGGACGAGATTGTGGTGACTGCTCACCAGGTTACTGGAATTTTCCAAATTGTCAAAGATGTGAATGTAATGGTCATTCAGAATTATGTGATAAAAATGGTGTGTGTATCGATTGTCGAGATTCAACAGCTGGTGATCATTGTGAACGTTGTGCCGATGGGTATTATGGAGATGCACGACTTGGTTCAACTCAAATATGTCGACCCTGTTATTGTCCGGGCGACCCGGGATCAACCCAACAATTTGGTGACTCTTGTGTTCATGATCCATATACACAACAAGTTGTATGTCGCTGCAGAGCAGGGTACACGGGTCAAAAATGTACTGAATGCGCTATTGCTTATTATGGGAATCCTGCCGAACAAGGTGGTCGATGTAAATCATGTGAATGTAATAATAACGGTAAGAATCAGAAGTAAATCTTCGGATTTTACCATTATCAGTTGACTGTATCCTTTAGTAAACGTTGATGATCCTGATAGTTGTGATAGACGTACTGGTGCATGTTTGAAATGTTTGTACAACACTGGTGGTCGCCACTGTGAACAATGTCGTCAAGGTTATTATGGTGATCCATTGGGTCCAGATAAATGCCAACCATGTGACTGTGGAATTGGAGGTCTTGACAATAATTGTAACAGTAAAACAGGCGATTGTATATGCAAAGAAAATGTTATCGATAGTAATTTGGGTGATAATATTGTCCGTCGATGTTCCCAATGTCGTGATGGTTATTGGGGTCTGGGTAGAGGCTATTGTTCATCGTGTAACTGTGATATTGATGGATCAACGGGTATGATATGTGATAAATTTACCGGTCAATGTCCATGTAAATATAATCGCGGTGGTCTACGATGTGATCAGTGTCCTCCAGGCACCTATGGAGATCCACTTAACCCTGACATTGATTGTCAACCGTGTCAATGTTCAAATGATGGTTCAGTTAATTCACAATGTGATGCTGTTACAGGACAATGTTTGTGTAAAATAGGTGTGACAGGAAAATATTGTGATCGATGTGCACGAGGAAAATACGGACTTGTACCTTATTGTACAAATTGCGGACAATGTTTTGGTAATTGGGACAATATTATTGGAAATTTAACTGGTAATTATTACTATTTGAACTAGTATGTGTTGTTGCGAATGTATAAAGAATCATTGTTGTTTAGGTCAAGTAAACGTGTTTGTTGATCGTTTAAATTCAGTTGAAATTCATCAGATTGAATCAATAACAAATGGCAATTTATTTCAACAAACTGAAACATTATTGGACTCTGTTCAAAATGCACTAGGATTAAAATATAGTGAATATGAACTTGAACCCTATCAACAAAAATATTTTCAATTAAATGAACGTCTCGTTAAATTATCAAAATCTTTAAATGATGACTTTATACCAAATTTTCAAAATCAATCAAAACGTTTTCGTTTTGAAGAAGATGTTACACGTATTAGTAATGTTGTTAAAGAAACATATACATTAACAAATTCCTATAAAACACAATATGATCGTTTAAAACATGCCGATTTACAATCAGCTGGTGTTAGTGCAAAAAATATTGAATTACAAATGAAACATATTAAAGATGAATTAAATCAATTGGTAATTAAAATTGAACAAAATTTACATTATCTACAACGATTAAATCAAACGTTGACAAATGAAAAAACATATTTTCAAAATCAAAAACTTCAAGAACAAGTGACAAATTTCTCACAAATTTATACAGATATCAATGAACGATATGTGAAGAAAGTAAAGATATATAATCTGATAACTTAGAAATTTATACTTTAAAAAATGATGTTATTTTGTTTTAAGGGTAATGTTAGTGAAGTAATATGTGGTAATCGTGGCAACAATGGTGTGTGTGATGCATGTGGTGGTGAAGGTTGTAATGATTCATCAATATGTACCAATAGTTTATCAACACAATGTTCATCAAGTGTACACCATATTCTAAATGATTTATTAATTGAAATCAATGATACTCAACAAACTATAGAACAAAAACAAAATGAAACAAATTTAATTTATACTCGATATTATGAGGCAGAAAAAGATATTAGTTTAACATTAACAAAGACTATCAATGAATGGAAACGTTTAAAAACGTTAAATGATAGTTTAAATTTAACACAAATACGATTAGATAAATCAAATATTCAAATACAAACATTAGAAGATTTATTAAAAGATCCAAAACCATCAGATATTCAAGAAATAATTGAAAAAATTTTAAATATGAAAATAACATTAACAACTCCAACATTGGAAACTTTAACTAATGATATAGTGAAATTAGTTGAATCAACACGAATTAGTCAACAAACTGATAATGAAAATGAAAAAATTCGCGATGCTACCTATAAATTGGATAATGCAAAAAATTTAGAAAATGATTTAATCACATATGTTAGGTAAAACAAATAAAAAAATAACTTTTGATAAAAATTATGTTCTTTCTGACAATTATTTGTTTTAATTAGATCATTTACTGCACAAACGTTGGGTATTAAAACGCTTGATAATATAATTGATAATTTAAATAATCAAAGTATTCATATAAATGAAATAGCAACAGAAACAAATCAAAAAATGGTAGAATTAAAAAGTACAGTTACTCAGGTAAGAGAAATATATTAGATAATTTAATATTTTGTACAAAATTAATTGATGTTATATAATTTATAGACTGAAGATCTTCTTCAAAAAGCTGAAAAAAATCTTAATTCAACAAAAGATCGAATTAGTCAATTAGTATCGATTGAACAAACATTTAATTCGACAATTCGAAATTCTATTGAAGTTATTGCCATTGAAACTGAACGAAATTTGAAAGAATTTTTACCAAAATATCTTGATGAATTTACACAAGTAAGTTTGACATCTTGTATGATGTCGATTTTTCAATATATATACATTATACCATAGTATATATTGTATATTTAGGATTTAGATATACTTAGTACAAATTTTGAAGCTTATACTCGTGATAAACAAGAATTACCAGCTGAAACAAGAACAACAGCGATACGTGTTCGTGAATTAAATTCAAATATCAAAACATTACAAGATAAAATTATGAAATATAGTACAAAATTAAATGGTAATACGAATACATCGTTTCGCTGATAATGATTTTTTTTTTAATTAAAATTTTTCTTTTTCTAGATGCATTAAGAAATTTTGAAAATAGCCGTTTAACAATGCCATTGATTCAGAAATTTGATGAATTAAGAAATCAAGCACGGTATGCACGCGATCAAATTAAACAAAGTGCAACACATTATGTTGACTGTTATCGAGTTGAACGATAAAATTAGTTCGTTAAATTACAATTATTTTTGTATTGTTATATAATCGAATGTTCATTTCCTATTTATGCATATATCAGTGTATATCGATTTTTTTTTTCATTTTTTCATTTTTTCATTTTTTCATTTTTTTTTCGTTTTTTGTTGTTTGAATTCGACTTTTCAGATACATTTTTTGTTTGGGGGGATTTCACTCGTGGTACCATTTTTATTTGTGTTTGATTTTCTTTCACTTTTTCATTTCTATAAAATAACTTACATGATAAATTATTAAGTTTATTGGATTCTAATGGAAGAAAGTAGCTTTTTTTATGCAAATGGACAAAAAATGGCTACAAGTACAATGCACTGAATAATACACAACGTTTGATTCTATGTTAAAAAAATAACGGATGACGTTAGAAACAAAAACTACAGCCTAGTTAGCACTCTCCACTGAAATCAACGAGAATTTTGATAGAGTTCACTTCCTAAGACCGCCCCTTTTTCAAGGAATAACAAGAAAAATCCAAACTCCCTAGGAAGCCTCTGGCATACTTATGTACCATTTTATTCTGTTACCTGATATCTTATATAAGAGCCATCACATCTACACTTATGAATTCTAAATTTCTTTTCCATACTCCCTTTTCCCAATACAGTAACTTGTTTGACTACATAATAATGCAAAAGTATCCAAAAAGTATTGATTCTCTTGGGCAAAAGATATTTCAAAAATGGCAATAAGATCCACAAATGATAATTCATCACAGATCACATACGATGGAACATGTGGCTGGAGACACCTGTAGCCTGCCATTAACTTAAATATTAACACAACTCTGATCTCTCTAGCACTTCTTTAAGTGAAAATATTTCAATTCTACTAGTGTCGGAGCTACCAGTGATATTTTCATTTCCAGCCTGGAAGCTATTTTTGAAACAACTTCATATTGAAATCGATCAAAAACACTCACATATCACCGGAACAAAAATAATAAGGTTGGTTTTGAGTTGCTGAAAAGTGCTTTTTCGTATTCAGCACACTCGATGACTCAGACGATTTTCTATTTTTGGTAAGGGATACTTTAGGAAAAAGTTTGAAACAAAATGGTGCAGAAGACTTTCCATGGAAAAATAATATTAGTTTGAAAATTTTTCCTAAACTTTTGGAAGTGCCCTTTGCCAAAACTAGAAAATTTTCTGAGTTATCGAGTGTGCTGAACACGAAAAAATACTTTTTAGCAACTCAAAACCAACTTTATTCTTTTGTCGGTGATATGGTTTAGTTGTATTTTGAAAACGCACAATCGAGATAATGTGCGGATACGATTAACTCAGAATCCAAGGCATTATCGCAAAATCGACTTTTTATACGCTGAACATAATCGGTCCAAATTTTTTTTCTGAATAGCTTATTGAGTGAATGTAAGGGCAGCAAAGTATCACTTTATGTAAATCACTTTTCGCATTTTGGCGCGAACAATGGCGCCATTTTAAACGCGCCACTATTTACGCGAAAAGTAATTTACATAAAGAGATACTTTGCTGACCGTACATTCATTCAATAAGCTATTCAGAAAAAAATTTGGACCGATTATGTTCAGCGTATAAAAAGTCGATTTTGCGATAATGCATATGTTATTCTTTTTTTACCATTGCGGATGAGAGGAGTCTGAAAAGGAGCCTTCATAAGATCTACTAAATAATTACATTTTTGAACTCGTCTTACCTAGAAAAAATATTGTTCTTTAGCTTTTAAAAAATATATTTTACTAGAGAAATTTTTAAAATATTCAAATTTTGAAATTCGTTAAAAAGGCCTTAATTTTTCAAGAACAAGCCAGATTTTCGGTTTTTTCTCTCCTTTCATGTTCTCAAACTATTTTATTCAGGCTCTTCATTCAAAACTGAATATAAAAAATTTGATTTGACACTTGTAGAACTTAAAATGATCGATGAGTGCAGAATCCTAAAAATGCTACCGGACCTCTCGCAAACACATCAGACCTCTGTAGCCAGAAGATATAAATTTTCATTCGAGTATCTTCGTCATATCAATGAGAAAAAAGTTAAGTAGTCTTTTTGAAAAATTTTGTGTCGTTTCAGAATCATTCAATTTTTTCGAAATTAGTGGAAAACCAATGAGATTAGGCTCGTACTTTGCCGTTTCTTCTATCTAAATTCGACTGTTCGACAAAAGCAATGCCATTTTCGGAATCAACGTTAAAAACTGCGTTGAAAAAACGTGTGTTTTGAAATTTTTTGGCAATTTTGGATTTTGAGTGTGAAAGTCCTGAGTTTTCAATTTTTGAGAAAATCGAGAAAAACCGAAAATTTCCGAAACACGCGGTTTTTAATGTTGATTCCAAAAATGGCATTGTTTCTGTCGAACAGTCGAATTTTGAATAGAAGAAACGGCAAAATACGAGCCTAATTCCATTGCGTTTTTCACTAATTTCAAAAAAATTGAATTTCTCGGTAACGAAATAAAATTTTTCAAAAACACTACTTAACTTTTTTCTCATTGGTATGAGGAATATACTCGAGTGAAAAGATCTTCTATAACTCAGTCAAAATTGATCCAAATTACTACGAAACTTCAAGATATACTCCGTTTTAACCACTAAATCTGATTCTGCAGTTAATATTAGCAAAAGAACGTACTCTTACTTCTGCAGCTTTGAATCTGAAGAATACGGCTGATCATGGACAAACTGCATTACTGTATTATAGTATATCGTCTCTCAATCATAAAAGAAATTTTCTAAGAAATCTGAAAGAGGGTAAAAAGAATGAGTGTGTGTGTGAATATTATTTTTTTCGTCAATTATGACATAAAAACTTTATTAAAAACCATATTGATACGCACAAAAAGAAAAAGACACTGTTCAACGAATGAAAAGGTAAAACATGAAGTAGACACGAGCGGACATTTTTTCTTTTTATGGTACAAACGCACAAATGATAAAAAAGGTAGCACAGAAGTAAACGCACCGGGCGCAAGTTGTATACAAATAAAGCTAGCCAACTGGTGCAAGCGGATATGTTACAAAAAAAAACAATTATGGAACTTTGACAAATAAACACACAAACGATTGTCTATTATATTGCACTCGAAACAAACTTTCTCTCTCGATTTTTCACATTTGAATCTGTAATATGCCCACGCATCTTTCAAAGAAAAATATAGGCGACTGGTATATACTGATTTCGACTTCATAATATATTTTTATATCCCATAATCGTCAAAAAAAAAACACAGGGAAAAGACCTGAGACAATTGTACGAGACAATCCCGTACAAACAAAATACACACCTTTTATTATTTACAGACAATGCATATTTGTAAAAGCGAATAAAAGAGCAAAATAGGAGTAGAGAAAAAACTGAGATCATCAAATAAAAAAAAGATTATGAAATATTGCTGAAAATAAACATGCGGAATGCGCGTAGAACAATCCGTATAACGACAAAAATCTATAATAGCACCATATTTTTTTGTTTCTGTAGATATGTACAAAAACAAATTAATTTAAGAATAACGATGTTTTGGTAATTGATTTTGACTTGCATATCGTAAACATCGAATCCATTCTTTTCGATCTTCTTCAGATGCCGCTGTCATACGATAAACAGTATGATGTCCTTTAAATAAATAAACAAACAAAGATATATCATGACAGTATAAACATTAAAATAATGTAGATCTCCTTCAATAAAACATGTGGCTCATTCAAAAACAAACTATTTTCAGCTTTACCTTCTGTTGTTTTTCCAAAATCTCCTGAAACTGGTTTGCATGCTTTAACTTTATCACCAGCTAATGGAAATAATTCAAAACAAAATTGTTTCGTACGATCATCTGAATCACGAACATCAACATTCACCAACGGAATGATACCACGTGGCTCACGATCCTGAAAATAAAAACGATATAATACATATTTAAGAAAATAACGCGATTAGAATAATTACCGTTGTCGATTCAAAATAATACAAACATCCTTCTGTAATAACAAACCATCTTCGTTTCCAATTTCGATATCTACCACCTAGAATACATAGAAAAATTCATTGCAGTATTTAAATACATTTAACGATTGTCATTTATTTACCTTGTTTGAAGAGAAATCCTTCTTTGATTACATTTCCATTGTTTGGAAATACAGGACAATTAAAACCATCTTCAGGAAATTTCAGTTCATTATTTTTAATGTTATCATATATGGCCTATTAATAATGGCATATGAGAAAGATAATGTTGTAAATTAAAATAAATTTTTAGTTTTACTTTGATGGTGCTTGGATCAGGTATTTGACCATTTGCTGTGGTGATTGCTTCTGTAAGACTTGTTTGAAATTTTTCTAACGTAAATATTCCACGAGTAGGTTTGGCATTTTTATTATGTAATGATGTATTTAACATTATTGTAGCGAATGATATAATATAGCATACTTCTGTAAGAAAAACACAATAAAAATGATGTAAGTACAGAAAATGTTTGTGGCTCAATATGCCTACCTGAACTACTATATGCATGTGGATTACATTCATAAAAACGTTGAGCAAATGCTTCCATCATACGATCAATCTTCTGTGCTTCACCCGGCAGTAGAAATACAAACAAATACTGTCTAAATGAATAATCAATGTGTTTTTCATTTTTCATCGTTTCTAATATTCATATACCTTAGTGCTTCAACAATACACATTGAACGAAAATCGTGCATATGAGCAAAATATTTCAAAACTTCAATATGAAAGTCATCTCTATAAAACACAAAAAAAAACAGACATAAAATTATTTAACAATCAATAATAGATTAAGAGTATTTACTTTTCTCCGAGATATTCTCCAATGGCACGTTTACTTAGACCATTTTCTTTGTATAAAAATGCTGCCACATGTTCCGGCGTATTTTGTAGCAGACTATTTTCAACAAGCCATTGAATACCCTATAAAAATAAATAGAAATCTTTAGATTATTCATTAAATATATTAGAGAAATAGCACTAATTTTTACCTCTTTCGGATTTGCATTGAAATGTTTCTTTCCTTGTATCCATTGTTTAACATTTGGATTACGTCTAAAATAAAGAAAGTGCGTACTACTGGAATAATGATAGTGCAGAGCACAAAAGTGCATCTACGTTTAGATCACCCTGACTTGTTTCTCATTATACATCAGATAGAAGTAAAGTGAAAAGGAACTCAAAAAGTGTACATCGAATGTACAGGAAGACATTTTTTATTCGTCTTCGACTTTCAATGCCTTTAGTCAAATTATTAATTAATACATTAAAATATGGTTATATTTGTGGTAAAAGATAGATAAAAATGATTTTATAAGATCATATATTTAAGAATAGAAATTATCGTTTTACCTATGTGCTTGAAATTGAGGACGAAGAGAAAATGAAACCGAAAAACGTCTAATATATTTCATTGGCTTTAATTTCATTTTAGGATGATTATTATCATCATTACTATCCGTCGATCTTTTATCGATGGATGATGGTCTACGTTCTTGAACGAATAAACTACGTCTTGGTTGCGCTTGTCGTTTAGGTATTTCAGAACTACTTATCGATAAACAACTCCTATTTGACGTTGTCGATGACGTATCATCATTCGTTAATGTTATGGAGTTTGAACGACCGTCAAAAAACATCACCAATTATATTAACGAATAATAACTTGGAATTACGAATGACGACGAGTAAATTATTATTAGAACAATTAGTAGTCTCTAGTTTTAAACTTTTTCGGCGATAAAAACAATTTTTAATAGTAATAGCCATAGTTCCAAATAAATTTGTACATTAATAAAAGATTTTTGTTTTTGTAAAATGAAAATTAGTTGTCAGAACAATTTTATGTTACTACAATAATAATCTATCTATCCACAGTGGTAACAAAAATAGTAGGGACTATATATATATATATCCCCTATATTAACTATATATATATATATATACACAGAATACAAAAAGTAAAAAATTATGTGTGAAAATTCGGTCTAGATTACGTGATTGCACATGCGTATACAAATTGTACAATGATGAGAGAAATTCGAGAACACAAAGACGAAGAAAAATCGATAATATAAGAGAACAAAAAAATTTTAAACAAGTTTAGAGTCATCCATCTTGGATACTCCTATTAAACCCGTCATTACCAAGATTAACGCACTGAATAGTATATACTTCTTAAAACTAACTTAATAATGGTCTATAATATGTGACGAGATAACTGAATTATGCCTTTTTCGTTTTTTTTGTTTAGACAGGTAAAAATCGCGCATGAATAACTATGTGCAAGTATATGTGTGTATGCGTCCAAAATTAACTAATGCATCAATAATTATGAGAAAGAAAATAGGGTTCTAAATAATTGGTGGGGCAGACTTACTGAAACGAGCTAATAAACCGTTTATATATAAATCGTTTCAGTAATTCTGACCGACCTTTATGGTGGTCTAATAAAGATGTATTATATGACTAACACTAATGTAAACAATTATTTAACCACTGTTTTTTAAAAGAAAAATGTTTTTTATACACGGTTTTTTCCGGAACTGTGCACGGTTTGCTATTTTTCCCTGCATCAAAAAACCTTTTGACATTTTTGTGCACGGAGACATTTTTAGCACGATTTTCTAGATAATAACATAAAAATGAAGACAGATTTCTGCACGACTTTTCAGCGAATAGAAAATATTTTCGTTTTACATGCAGATGCTCTACTAAACAAATAAGATGATCTATGAACAGATGTCTCGTTTAATGTAAACGTCTATGTACTTTTCCAGCGTATTTAATAATGAAAAACAGCAAAATTCTGGAAAAAAACCGTGCACAGAAAAATCCTTGTCCGCTTCTTAATAGCCTTCCCTTTAAAAATCATAGTTTTGTCAAATGTCAAAAAATGATGTATTGCTTTATACACATCAAAAATAAAATGTAGAACGGTAATTGGTTCTAATGCCGATTAGATGATATAAGAGTTAAATTTCAGTAGAATCACTTAGGTCTTTGTGGTAGTAAATACAGAGTTGTGGTTGTGTGAAAATGAACTCGACACAGAAATCTAGTATTCTTTTAGCTATTTTGGATTATCAACTTTAAATGCATGTCAAAAACTTACGGAGATGAAAGTGAACAATCGTCTCGATCATATGTTAGACATAAGTGTACAGTTCATTTTCAGACAACCAGACCTCTGTACCTACTACCTCAAATGAACTTAACAATTCTACTCAATGTTCTGCTCATCTTGACTCGTCTAATCATCACTTGAACTATTCAATCTTTTTGGGTTGACGCTGCATCATAGCTGTTTCACATGAGAAGTTTTTATCGATAAAACTATAGATCAAACCGAATGTACGGCGTAGAAAAATGATGCTTGCCGATGGGGGTCATATAAAATGATCAAGGTACGAAACCTTTTTTTTTGTTTTTGGCATTTTTATACTATTAAATATGAATAAAGAACAAGATATCTATTAAATACAGAATATATTTCCTGATCAAAGTCTTTGGTGTGTCATCATTATATAAGGTACAAAAAGTCAATAGATGATGGTTATCTATCTTAAGATATGTAATGTAGTGATTCGGTAGAAAAATAAATGACATTTTTGAGTGTCTTTATTATACAGCAACTATAGTGCAAACTACCTCTAAATTCGTTTGAATAGAAAAAATTCATTCAATATTGTAAGAATATAATAAAGTCACTAACGAATTTTACATTTAACTCAATAAATGTGCATTTAGCAATAATATTTAACGTGTTAATTAAAGAATTGAGAATGCATTTCCACAGAAGAAACAAAATGATACATACTTTCACTCAGAACTTTCCTTCAGGATGAAAAGAAACATCGTGTAACACGATACACAGCAATGAAAAACTATTTCTCGTTTATATAACCAAAATTAAAGTACATCAATTTATATTCTAATATATTTTTAAGTTTAATGCTCTTGTTTTCTTACTCATCGCTTCCATGTGAACTGATCATTGTCATTTCTACTTCACATTGTGCTATTTTTTCTTTAAGTTCCTATAATAAAAAAAGAAACAAATCATGACTAATATACAAACTTTTAATACGATCAGAAGTACAAACTTGTTAGAAAATGAAAAAACGGCAAGTGTAATTATAATTAAATGTGTTTAGCTTAAATACCTAATAAATTTTCAAACTGACATTTAATGAATTTAAAAGATTTCAAAACAAAATCACATACCATAATTTCTTTTTTGAGTTGTTCTTTTCTTCGGTGAATATACTGCACCGTTATATTTGCATTCCCTCCACCACCACCGATGGTTCCATTTCCTACAACAGACAAACAAATCATTGTTGAACAAGAGTAAACATTATTGCTCATTACTTGTATAGTTAACTTACCTATACTATTTAGCGTCATTCTGTAATAGTTTAAAGCTTAATTTAATCTTATCTGAAATGAAACTAAAAATGAGATAACTTGATTTAAAGGAAAATAAAACAAGCATATTAATTTCTTTGATTCCTGTTTCTTCTCTAAAAACATAAATGGTTCTGAACTGAAGATAAATAAATCTCAATAAGAGGACAAATACTAATTCCATTTTATACAATGTGATTTCCAGTAAAAACATTTATCTTTTTTCATAACAAATAAAAGATTTATATCGTATTTTGATGCAAAATAAACTTCTATAATTTGAATTTTGCAATAGAAACTTTCCTGAGGACGGTATGAATGTATACTGGAAGCTTGTAAAATGCAAAGCTTTATCACATTTTTCCGCATATAAAAAGAATCTGCTTTATTTTAAATACAAAGAGATAAATTAGACTTTGACGTTCGCTTGAATCAATGAATTCAGTTGAATTTAAAAAATATTACCATCCAAATGAAAACATTTGATAATATATTTCTGATAATGGAAAAATAGTTGTTGATCAGCAAAACTTAGATCTGCAAAGGAAAGGAATGATAGTTATAAAATTTTATGGAATATTTTAGAAATAAGAATTTTCTTATCGTAGTTTATGCCTGAAAAAAGTTGAAGGTGTATAATTCTAAAAAATGGATGACAAACTTAAGATTTCTTTCGATTTACCATAACTCTTTCTCAAGTTTTAAGTATGGCTTAAGCGAGATGTCTAGTTTAAATCTAACGTCATTTATGCTTGTAAAGGAAACTGAGATATATCTTGAACTTAAGTCCAAAAACTTAGTATTGTCTTTAGTTAAATTAGACTTAGAATTTTTTGAGAAACATGTATTTCTCGTTTCTTCTGAAAAAATTAATGATAAACGTTAAGATTCCGTAGAATCTAATGTCCATACTAAATTATATTTTGTCAAAAAGACTAAACAAATACACTCAACTACCGGCTACAAAATACAGTATAGAAATTTGGACGGATTCGACTAGTGACAAAAGTTTTGCATATTAGTAAATAAACGGTATAATTCTATATGGCACTCTTTGACAATATTCTTTCCAATCATATCCATATTTTTTTTGACATATTTTATTATCTGCTCGTTCTCGAAAAATAAACAGTAGGACGTAGTACATCGGATATAACCATGGTAAGTATGTTTTTGATGAACAATCAATAAAACATAATAATGCTAAAGAACATGCCATGAGTGTATCACCCAAATAATTAATATGTCTTGACAATGACCAAAAGCCGGAACATAATAATTTATTATTAATAGTTTTTGGTTGAATTAAGTTGAACAAATAGTTTGCTTTTGGCTTTGTTTTAAATAAATACTTTTGATTGTTTGCTCCACGTGATAAACACCAACCAATGACAAATAATGCAACAACACTAAATAGAACAAAATTTGACCGAATTTGACAGGGAATATTTTGTTCTGCTATGGCCCAAATTCCAATCGGGTAGAAAAATGGATAAAAGACCAAACATCCCCATGTCAATTTAAAACCAACGGCTTCGGCTACAAAATCAAATGTATACAAATGAACGTATTCATGCCAGAAATATTCACAAAGAAAAAATGTAAATAAAATCACATAAACAATTAGATTATTTGTTAAATGGCCATTTACTTCGTAGTAGTGACCCGCAAACATTAACAGATTTAATTCAAGAATAGTACCACCAACTAGGTATAAATACATTTTGGTATCAACTAAACCAATTTGTGGATTCTTTAATCGACCACAGTAAATGTCCAGAAGAATGTTCTTCTTCGTAGGAGATGGAAATGGTAAAACAATAAGAAGCGAAAACAAAAAGCCAATAATGCCAGCAGAGAAAGCCATTTTCCATCGATAATTGTAGAAAAAACTCATACAATTGATATCGCCATAATAACACAAAGTTGTGAACGTTAAAACTGTTACAAAAAGCACTGAAAGTCCATTTAAACGGTAAAAAATTGGCTGCCCAGTCTTTTCATGTTTAACATATCCCTCAACTATCCTTCCTGGGATAACTATATACAGAAATAATATAAAACAATAAAGGGACAATATGAAAAAAGCTGCAATGAACCATTCAACAAACATGCTTACTGATTACTCAGACTAATTTGTCTTGTTTTTTAGAAACATCAACAAATAAGCAAAAACAGTGAGTCATAACGACATAGTTTTTCTCGGTCAGAACAATCAACCAATAAAGTCTGTCGTACAAATTATGGACAGTTAACCTTACAAGTAAACTGGTAGGGTGACTAATCATGATGAGTAGAGAACAGAACAAATTTAGTTTACGAACAAACACAACGATATCGTATAAGTGCGACCTCTCTTTCAATATCTCTAAAATTTTCCTCTTTTAATGGTCAGTTTATATAAAGGAACTTCAGAAAAGTCATAAAAGATTTCAACAGTGTAGTGTACACTTTAACCTGACACTGTTAAACTTCGTCGTAATAATTTAGTCTAACGAAGATGTCGCAATTCTATTATATCATATATATTTGCATATAAATACAGAAATCAGTTTCTTATGACTCATCGCCGGATCGGTCTAACATTCAGCAATATAAAGACTTTTTTTGTGTTCTACTTTACCAGGAAATTTTGGTAAGAGCTTCGTTGAAGAGAAACAGAAAATATTAACTTTTAAACCTTATTCTTTTTCTTGCACTGTTATATTGAGTAACTGTCTGCTATAGTGCAAGAATCAAGATGATTTTTTCCTTTTGTTTTCCTTAGACTTCAGAACTAAATAAAATTATTTGAGTGCAGAATTGATCTTCGTCCTGTAAATTGGTGTTCTCGGCAAATGAGTAGAATAGGCCGTCAAAATGACAAAGATATCACTGGATGCCCTGCGTAGTGGCCGTCAGGGATGAAAATCCTAGGTTTGTTAGCGAGGTAGTTAGTAGTAGTAGTATTTATTTATTCACGAAAACGAAGTAATTATAGTAAAATGAGTGATATTTAGTTTATACAGCAGAGAAGCAATACAATAAAGATTCGAGTCGTTCTTGTTTATTGAAAGCACAAGTAGAAATTGGAAGGCTGAAGCACGCTCAAACGAAAAATCGTGTAGTTTCAACACTTTTATTCATGGAAATGTCTGATCAATAAAAAAGCCATTTTATTCTTTTGTGATGCTTCTTTACAATGTCGTCGTTTTTTTTCATTTAGAGAGAGATATAACAAATCGGGGTAATAAGATCAGTATTTTAGGTGAAACGAAAACTTTTATCATTCAGGGCACTACAAGATTCTAGATGTTTTTGCTACTTTTGAGGACAAATAATTTCTGTTTGTATTTCTAGATTACTTTTAGTTACTTTAAAAGATTGCTAAACTGTACCTGAAATAATGCCACTTGAAAGTACCATTATTTGGTAAGTAATTCATGAGACTTTGAGAGTTCTTACTAAGGTGTATTTCGACCACCGATGGTATATATCCTTTCTAAGAAGCGATGTTGCCAGAGATAAAGATTTTGTTGAAGATAAGAGATATTTTTCTTAAAGTATCGATAGTAAAAGTGCTCAGCGTTTTCATTGTCGCTTTACCAGCATTCACAACTGGAATTTTAAAGACAAATGGTTTGTGATGCTACGCCTAAAATACTTTTTACTTTACAGTATTGATAATAGTGATTTTATGCGTGATGGCGATTTTATTCCAACACGAATGCAAGCTCAACAAGATGCTGTGTCACTTATATTTCATGCTAAGACACGTGCAAATCCAGAAAATAACGTTGGCTTACTTACATTAGCTGAGTATGTTTTTTCTTATTGTGTCCCAGCAGATTAAATAAAAGTTCCTTTTTGTTTTTGCTTTAGCGGTCGAGTTGTAACACAATTGACAAGTGATGTTGGCAAAGTATTTTCTAAATTACATTTATTACCAATGGAAGGCAAAATAGACTTTTGCAAAGGAATTAAAGTAGCAAATGTTAGTTATTTAATGATGTTTTTCTTATTTATGCTTCAATTATATTTTTTTCTGCAGTTAGCACTAAAACATCGTCAAGGTAAAAATCATCGACCAAGAATCGTTGTATTTATCGGTAGCCCATTAGAAGCTGATGCAGCTGAATTTATAAAACTGGCAAAACGTTTGAAAAAAGAAAAAGTTTCTATTGATATCGTTGTGTTTGGAGATGAGGTACATTTGAAAAACATTCGAAATTACTAATAAGCTATTAAAACATAACTTTTTTCTTTTAGTCATCCAGAGAAAAATTTGATGAATTTATATCAACAATCAATGGAAAAGATAATACAAAGTAAGCGAAGGGAAGATTCTTATGACTTAAACGTTGCTCAATGCTATTATATTTTGTTTCAGTTCACATCTGATATGTGTTCCAGCAGGTGTCAATTTACCTGACACAATAATTAACACGCCAATTATTCAAAGTGAAGATGGTTCAGGTATACCAGCTGGTTATTCAGCTAGTGCATTTGCATTTGGTTTAAATCCAGAAGATGATCCCGAACTAGCTATGGTATTGCTGATGTTCTTTAGACAATCAGTATATCTAATATTTGGTTTTCTACTTTTAAGGCTCTTCGTATATCAATGGAAGAACAAAGACGTGTGCAAGAAGCTGAAATTAGTCGACCAAACGGAACCGGTAGTGGAACGGTACTGGCAGGAGGAACAGAGGGAACTGGTAAGAAAAAGAAAAGCGTTCTATTTTTACTTCTACTTTAAGATATTTATGATTTTCAACAAACTATGTTAGTTCGAACATAGGTGACATTTCCACATGATTTTGTAACTAATAAAAAGTCTTTTGCAGCATATTTAAGTAGTTTCCCGAAGAAAATCAGAGTATTTGGTTTTAGGCACTGACGATCCAGCAATGCGACAGTCACTTGCCTTTTTCCTTGGTGATCAAAATGATATGGATGTTACACGTTTAACTGAAGATGAACAAATTGCATTGGCTATTAAAATGTCAATGGCGCCGGGTGCAGCCGATACAACAAGTAAGTTATAAGAACATAAAAACAGCTCGAACAGGAAACAAATTTGTGAAGAAGTTTAAGAAGACGGATGTCAAGCTGTAGTTCTATTGTTGAGCTTTATGAACCCATTTTCAGTATTTTTCAAAGTGGAGACTAATATTTCATATCAGCTTTCGAGCAATATCTGGTGACATTATACCGTGTCTTACTTAGATTCAGCAGACATTGAAATGAAAGACAAAGAAGAGTCAACGATATCGCCGCCTGCAACAGCTTCGACGGCAATGGAAACGAATCAACCAGAAATTACTCGAACGAAGGTACAACATGCGTATACAATTAGGTGCTTAAGAATTTTATTTTAATACAACACTTTTGTGAATTTTAGATCGAAGAAGAGGAAGATAATTTTGCAGCGTCATTAAATGATCCACAATTTTTACGTGATGTGTTAAAAGATTTACCAGGTGTAGACGTCGATAGTGATGCTGTGAGAGCAGCATTAGAACAAGTTCAAACAACATCAACGAAACCAAAAGAGAGCGACGCAAAAAAAAAGGATGAAGCCGGGAAAAAATGAGAAACATGACTAATTAGTTTGGCAAATCCTTTATTTGTTATAACTTTTTATTTCATTAAGATGTTTGTTTTTTGTTTTTGACTTATTTGTACATCGTAAGAAAAAATTATGCTCTAGATTTTTAAACCTATTTAACTTTTAACATCCGATAATGTCTTGCAGTTAGAATGACTATCGTTCTTCATTTACTTTAAGCAGATAAAATAGTTGAATAATGGTCAAACTATTGATTAGTTCTGCTTTGTCATAGAAAAGTATGATGGTATTCGAAAGAAAAGAAATCAGTGAGGCAGTTTAAGAAAATGGGTATTAGGTTCTATTTTCAAGGTTCAATCACTTTTTTCAAAAAGTACCCTATGGGGGGGGGGGGGGGCAGGGCAATTTTAAAAAAATTTTGTTGCAACAATGGGTTTTTGTGGGGGGGGGGCGTTAATTGGGGGGGGGGGGGGGGTGGGCTGTTTTTAT